GATTTGGAAAGATTTGCGCCGAGGATTGAAGATTACAACAACGTTGTTGCTAAGGCTATTGCTGGAGGAACTGGACATATCATTAGAGGAATCTTTAGTTGCAGTAATGCTTACACCAAGTCACCAATCAGGTTTCAAATAATCTCTTCATATATTTAGAAGCTCTCTTGATTATGAATACTATATATCAACATGTTTATGTGCTTTTATGGCTGAAAAGCTTCACAAGGAAGGTGAAATAATGATTACAAAAGCTGAGGAGAAGAGTGGTTCGTCCCAAAGAAATGGAGGTTACAACAATGGAGACTTCAGTAGTAGTGAGAAGAAAAATGGAATCAACACAAACCTTCAACGGTATTTATTCCTTATCTTGAAATATTTTCAGCTTTTTTTTTCTCTTTTTTCTTTTATAAAATATTTTTTTTGTAACCTTCCTTTAAATACTTAGCTTTTACATTTTCAAGTAACAAACAAATTTGGTTTATAGAAATGCATATTGAGTTCTTGAATCTTTAATATTGTTAAAAGAAACAAATAGCATTAAAAAAACAATTTTCAAGTTATCTAAAAGAATTATAGTTTAATATCTTAATATACAAGTGGACCTATGAAAATGATGGGGTCCGCCTAACATTCAGGAATTGGTTTTCATGCTTTTGCATTTAAATGCATGCCTGAAATAATCTTAAAAAACTACATAACATGGGGTTTTGATTTTTGTTTTCTTTAAAGGGTTTAGCATGGAGTTGATATTGAGAATTTATAACAAAAGAAAATTATGAGAAATATGGATTGAAAACAAAATCAACAAAAAAAAAATTCAAAATCATGAGTTCCAATCTGAACGATCTCAAAATATATGTGTAGACACATGTTCTAAAAAGAAAAGAAAAAGCGTGCTTAATTTCATTAATTTTCGTTGAACAGAGGACAAGACTGATGGGTTTCTATAGGTCTAATTCGGAAACCCAAATCTCAAGCGGATATTTTTTCATATGGTAATTGCATGTACAAGAATAATCAATAACTTGTGTTTTATTTGGAGAATGATGAAAGGATTAATAAACAATGTAAGAAACCAATTTAACAATTCAGAGCATTTGATTAAAGGATTAAACTGAATAAAGAAAACAAAATTTGAAAGACTCTAATTCAGTTTTGTCCTAATGTCCCGTACGATACATAAAAAGAGAAGAGAGAGAGAGACTGAGTCTTCTCCTTGTGAAATAGAGTCTTCTTCTCTACAAATACTTGCTTTTGCATCTCTCCGACAGTTTCATCTCTCTTAAACGGTTTGAAATCAAAGGAAAAGAAGAAATGGCCATGAAAAGAGTTTTTGAGTGTTTCATCTGTGGGGTTCGTTATGAGATGAAGATGATGAATGAGAAGAATGTTGAGAGTTTCTCCTGGAAGGAGATGGGTGGTGTGGGTGCAAGTGATGTTGCCAAGCTTTTGCAACCAACCAAGCCGTCTTTGGTTGAAGAAGTGGAGGAAGGGAAGCTTAGAGTCTTCGATGGGAAGTACAAGCATGATTTTGTGATGGAAAAGTGGAGATACAAGTACATTAGGGATTTGAACCTCTTTGTGTATGAATTTTCTTGGGGGTGTTTTCAAAAGATGGAAGAAGTTTCATTCATGTTTCCCCTCATAGTCATGTATAGAACCTATTAATCCATGTTTGGGTAAGTATGGGTCCGTCTAGTTCATCATATACACTACAAGTAGTTCCACAATGTGGAGGCACAAGCTACATTTCGGACTCCTTACCTCTTCCGGTTCCCAAATTTGGTCCATTTGATGTTCCTCCCTTGGATTGAGACCGTTTCAGTCATGTTTCTCCTCCTAGTCATGTGGAGAACCTATTAATCCATGTTTGGGTAAGTATGGGTCCGTATAGTTCATCATATACACTACAAGTAGTTCCCACAATGTGGAGGCACAGAGGTACATTTCGGACTCCTTACCTCTTCCGGTTCCCAAATTTGGTCCATTTGATGTTCCTCCCTTGGATTGAGACCGTTTCACTCATGTTTGTCCTCATAGTCATGTGGATAGAACCTATTAATCCATGTTTGGGTAAGTATGGGTCCATCTAGTTCATCTTATACACTACAAGTGATTTCCACAATGTGGAGGCACAGAGGTACATTTCGGACTCCTTACCTCTTCCGGTTCCCAAATTTGGTCCATTTGATGTTCCTCCCTTGGATTGAGACCGTTTCACTCATGTTTCCCTCATAGTCATGTATAGAACCTATTAATCCATGTTTGGGTAAGTATGGGTCCGTCTAGTTCATCATATACACTACAAGTATGTTCCCAAATGTGGAGGCACAAGGTACATTTCGGACTCCTTACCTCTTCCGGTTCCCAAATTTGGTCCATTTGATGTTCCTCCCTTGGATTGAGACCGTTTCACTCATGTTTCCTCATAGTCATGTATAGAACCTATTAATCCATGTTTGGGTAAGTATGGGTCCATGTCTAGTTCATCTTATACACTACAAGTAGTTCCCACAATGTGGAGGCACAGAGGTACATTTCGGACTCCTTACCTCTTCTGGTTCCCAAATTTGGTCCATTTGATGTTCCTCCCTTGGATTGAGACCGTTTCAGTCATGTTTGTCCTCATAGTCATGTATAGAACCTATTAATCCATGTTTGGTAAGTATGGGTCTGTCTAGTTCATCTATATACACTACAAGTAGTTCCAAATGTGGAGGCACAGAGGTACATTTCGGACTCCTTACCTCTTCCGGTTCCCAAATTTGGTCCATTTGATGTTCCTCCCTTGGATTGAGACCGTTTCAGTCATGTTTCTCCTCATAGTCATGTATAGAACCTATTAATCCATGTTTGGTAAGTATGGGTCCGTCTAGTTCATCTATACACTACAAGTAGTTTCCCACAATGTGGAGGCACAAGATACATTTCGGACTCCTTACCTCTTCCGTTCCCAAATTTGGTCCATTTGATGTTTCCTCCCTTGGATTGAGACCGTTTCATCATGTTTCCCCTCATAGTCATGTGTAAACCTATTAATCCATGTTTGGGTAAGTATGGGTCCGTCTAGTTCATCATATACACTACAAGTAGTTTCCCAAATGTGGAGGCACAGAGGTACATTTCGGACTCCTTACCTCTTCCGGTTCCCAAATTAGGTCCATTTGATGTTCCTCCCTTGGATTGAGACCGTTTCATCATGTTTCCTCATAGTCATGTATAGAACCTATTAATCCATGTTTGGGTAAGTATGGGTCCGTCTAGTTCATCTTATACACTACAAGTAGTTCCCAATGTGGAGGCACAGAGGTACATTTCGGACTCCTTACCTCTTCCGGTTCCCAAATTTGGTCCATTTGATGTTCCTCCCTTGGATTGAGACCGTTTCACTCATGTTTCTCCTCATAGTCATGTAGAACCTATTAATCCATGTTTGGGTAAGTATGGGTCCATCTAGTTCATCTTATACACTACAAGTGAGTTTCCACAATGTGGAGTCACAGAGGTACATTTCGGACTCCTTACCTCTTCCGGTTCCCAAATTTGGTCCATTTGATGTTCCTCCCTTGGATTGAGACCGTTTCACTCATGTTTCCTCATAGTCATGTATAAACCTATTAATCCATGTTTGGGTAAGTATGGGTCCATCTAGTTCATCATATACACTACAAGTGAGTTCCCAAATGTGGAGGCACAGAGGTACATTTCGGACTCCTTACCTCTTCCGGTTCCCAAATTTGGTCCATTTGATGTTCCTCCCTTGGATTGAGACCGTTTCACTCATGTTTCTCCTCATAGTCATGTGTAGAACCTATTAATCCATGTTTGGGTAAGTATGGGTCCATCTAGTTCATCTTATACACTACAAGTAGTTCCCACAATGTGGAGGCACAGAGGTACATTTCGGACTCCTTACCTCTTCCGGTTCCCAAATTTGGTCCATTTGATGTTCCTCCCTTGGATTGAGACCGTTTCACTCATGTTTGTCCTCATAGTCATGTATAAACCTATTAATCCATGTTTGGGTAAGTATGGGTCCATCTAGTTCATCTTATACACTACAAGTAGTTTCCACAATGTGGAGGCACAGAGGTACATTTCGGACTCCTTACCTCTTCCGGTTCCCAAATTTGGTCCATTTGATGTTCCTCCCTTGGATTGAGACCGTTTCAGTCATGTTTCTCCTCATAGTCATGTATAGAACCTATTAATCCATGTTTGGTAAGTATGGGTCCATCTAGTTCATCTTATACACTACAAGTGATGTTCCACAATGTGGAGGCACAGAGGTACATTTCGGACTCCTTACCTCTTCCGGTTCCCAAATTTGGTCCATTTGATGTTCCTCCCTTGGATTGAGACCGTTTCACTCATGTTTGTCCTCATAGTCATGTGTAGAACCTATTAATCCATGTTTGGGTAAGTATGGGTCCGTCTAGTTCATCATATACACTACAAGTAGTTCCACAATGTGGAGGCACAGAGACATTTCGGACTCCTTACCTCTTCCGGTTCCCAAATTTGGTCCATTTGATGTTCCTCCCTTGGATTGAGACCGTTTCACTCATGTTTGTCCTCATAGTCATGTGTAAACCTATTAATCCATGTTTGGGTAAGTATGGGTCCATGTCTAGTTCATCATATACACTACAAGTAGTTTCCCAAATGTGGAGGCACAGAGATACATTTCGGACTCCTTACCTCTTCCGGTTCCCAAATTTGGTCCATTTGATGTTCCTCCCTTGATTGAGACCGTTTCATCATGTTTGTCCTCATAGTCATGTATAGAACCTATTAATCCATGTTTGGGTAAGTATGGGTCCGTCTAGTTCATCTTATACACTACAAGTAGTTCCCACAATGTGGAGTCACAGAGGTACATTTCGGACTCCTTACCTCTTCCGGTTCCCAAATTTGGTCCATTTGATGTTCCTCCCTTGGATTGAGACCGTTTCACTCATGTTTGTCCTCATAGTCATGTAGAACCTATTAATCCATGTTTGGGTAAGTATGGGTCCATCTAGTTCATCATACACTACAAGTAGTTCCACAATGTGGAGGCACAGAGGTACATTTCGGACTCCTTACCTCTTCCGGTTCCCAAATTTGGTCCATTTGATGTTCCTCCCTTGGATTGAGACCTTTCATCATGTTTCCTCATAGTCATGTATAGAACCTATTAATCCATGTTTGGGTAAGTATGGGTGTCTAGTTCATCATATACACTACAAGTAGTTCCCAAATGTGGAGGCACAGAAGGTACATTTCGGACTCCTTACCTCTTCCGGTTCCCAAATTTGGTCCATTTGATGTTCCTCCCTTGGATTGAGACCGTTTCACTCATGTTTCTCCTCATAGTCATGTATAGAACCTATTAATCCATGTTTGGGTAAGTATGGGTCCATCTAGTTCATCATATACACTACAAGTAGTTCCCACAATGTGGAGGCACAGAGGTACATTTCGGACTCCTTACCTCTTCCGGTTCCCAAATTTGGTCCATTTGATGTTCCTCCCTTGGATTGAGACCGTTTCACTCATGTTTCCTCATAGTCATGTATAGAACCTATTAATCCATGTTTGGAAGTATGGGTCCATGTCTAGTTCATCTTATACACTACAAGTAGTTCCACAATGTGGAGGCACATAGGTACATTTCGGACTCCTTACCTCTTCCGGTTCCCAAATTTGGTCCATTTGATGTTCCTCCTTGGATTGAGACCGTTTCACTCATGTTTGTCCTCATAGTCATGTATAGAACCTATTAATCCATGTTTGGGTAAGTATGGGTCCGTCTAGTTCATCTTATACACTACAAGTAGTTCCACAATGTGGAGGCACAGAAGATACATTTCGGACTCCTTACCTCTTCCGGTTCCCAAATTTGGTCCATTTGATGTTCCTCCCTTGGATTGAGACCGTTTCATCATGTTTCCTCATAGTCATGTATAGAACCTATTAATCCATGTTTGGGTAAGTATGGGTCCGTCTAGTTCATCTTATACACTACAAGTAGTTCCCAATGTGGAGTCACAGAGGTACATTTCGGACTCCTTACCTCTTCCGGTTCCCAAATTTGGTCCATTTGATGTTCCTCCTTGGATTGAGACCGTTTCACTCATGTTTGTCCTCATAGTCATGTATAGAACCTATTAATCCATGTTTGGGTAAGTATGGGTCCGTCTAGTTCATCATATACACTACAAGTATGTTCCCACAATGTGGAGGCACAGAGGTACATTTCGGACTCCTTACCTCTTCCGGTTCCCAAATTTGGTCCATTTGATGTTCCTCCCTTGGATTGAGACCGTTTCATCATGTTTGTCCTCATAGTCATGTATAGAACCTATTAATCCATGTTTGGTAAGTATGGGTCTGTCTAGTTCATCATATACACTACAAGTAAGTTCCAACAATGTGGAGGCACAGAGAGCTACATTTCGGACTTCCTTACCTCTTCCGGTTCCCAAATTTGGTCCATTTGATGTTCCTCCCTTGGATTGAGACCGTTTCAGTCCGTTTCTTCCTCATAGTCATGTATAGAACCTATTAATCCATGTTTGGTAAGTATGGGTCCATCTAGTTCATTATATACACTACAAGTATGTTCCCATAATGTGGAGGCACAGAGATACATTTCGGACTGAAAACAAGATTTTTAGTAGATTCAAACCCTCAAATCTCTACTTATATCATCGCAGTATAGTAAAGGTGTTAATCCAAATCTCAGAGAAGATTGGGTTTTAAAGAAATGCAAGAAAAGTTCAAGCCAAGAACAAAAACTTGGTTTTTATGAAATCTGAAATCTCAAACAGTAAAATAACGACAATGGTCCAAAATCCGATTTCGAAGGCAAAGGTTTCGATTTTGAGCTAAAAGACTTGAACTTGATAAGATAAAATTAAGAAAGGCGATGGCTTTAGGTAATTGCGGATGAAAATCAAGCTAAAGGAAGAGACTTTCGAGCTTAGAAGATAGAACCGAGTTTCTAGGCTAAGGAAAACGAAAGCGAGAGATCATCACTATCGTGAATGAGCTCGAATGCAAGGTTGAAACTCAAGAGCTGACTATCGTCAGTGAGCTCTGATGTAATTGCATTTTACATAGTTTTAATAGATCTTTTATGCATCTTTTGCATAGTTTTAGCATCCATTAGCATCATATCTTGTTCCTTTTCCCTTCTTGTGCATTCATAGTATTTTTAGGTTGCATTTGCATATATGTGCATGTTTGGTCCTTGAAATAGGTCTTTTGGAGCACTTTGGAGCATTTGGGGCGTGAGGAGCAAGAAAGGACTTGATGCATGGACGCAGCTCAATTGAACACACAAAGGACGAATGAGGAAATCATCTTGAAGACCAGCTCAACCACCTACTCGACCATACTTCCGCGATCTGTGCACTTGCAGAGGTCTAGGAGTTTGGTAAAACCTGACTCCGCATCAAGTTTTTGGCGCCGTTGCCGGGGACTGCAGCAGTACCTTTGGAACTCGACTAGGATCTAGTCTAGAACCTTTTCCTGTTTTACTTTTCTTTTGCTTTTGAATTTTTAGTTTTTGATTTCCTTTTCTTTGATTTTTACTTTTGTTTTTGTTTTTCCCTTTTGATTTAACTTGTTTCCAAGACTCTTTTCAGGTGCATGACTAGGAGGTCCAACAAGGACAACCTAGTTGAACATCCAGAGATAGACAAGCTTGAGAAGCAACTTAGGAAGCAGAAAGCCCAAGAGATGGCCGACGAAGCAGCTCGCGCTCACGCCGCTGAAGTGGCGCGCGCTCAAGAAGAAGGAAGAGATCCACCTCCTCCTCCTCCTAATCCCTGCTGGAGATGTGAACGCACAACCCCAAGCTGGAGCACCTACAATCGGAGACTATGACTCTGCCGATGCTTTCTTCATGGATAGAAACCCTATCCATCCACCACCCCTGCAAGGAATGACTATGAGATCAAGCCTCAGATCATTGCATTGGTTAGACAGAACCAATTCAATGGACTTCCAGCTGAGCACCCTCTTGATCACATAGAAAACTTTGAAGAAATTTGCAGCACTACAAGATCCAATGGAGTCTCTGCTGACTACCTTAAGTGCAAGCTCTTTTCATTCTCTCTTGGCGACAAAGCTTCAAGATGGTTGAAGTCTCTGCCAGCTCACTCCATCACCACTTGGGATGAGTACAAGGCTGCATTCATCAACCACTTCTACACCAAGCAAAGATCAATTTCTGTGAGAAACAAGATCTCCACTTTCGCCAAGCCAACAATGAATCTTTCTATGAGGCGCTAGATCGATTCAAGGAGTACATTAGGGACTGCCCTAATCATGGTTTCAATGAGGGAAACCTATGGAACATCTTCTATCGTGGCATTGACCACAAGTACAAGCTTTCATTGGATACAGCAAGCAATGGAAACTTCATGACCAAGACTGTTGATGAAGCTAAGGTTCTTATTGAGAATCTTGCAGCTAGTGATTGTAACAACTGTCCTGATTATGACCGCTCAAGCCGCACCACTACTAGCTCCCCTGATTCTTTTCAAATGACTGAACTCAAGAACATGATGGCTCAAGTTCTTAAGGGACAGCTCAAGCATATCAATGCAATAGAAGGGATGAGTGATGCTAATGAAGATTCATCAAGAGAATGCATGGGAGATTTCTCTAATGAAGCCAATGAAGAAGATGTGAACTACATTGGAAACTATGGGAACAAGGGATACAATCCAAGCTATCGCCCAAACCCCAACATGTCTTATAGAAACCCCAATGTGGAGAATCCTCAAGACCAAGTGTATCCTCCAAGGTATCCACAACAACAAAGACCTCCTTACCAATCTCAAGGAAGTCAATTTCAGCCAAGGCAAGGATATGAGCAGAGATCATCATATCCGCCCAAGGAGCCATATGCTTCTTCACCAAATCAAGCTCCTCCAAACCAACAAGGTGGGAGATTTGAAGGAATCCTCCAACAGATCATGGATGGCCAGAAGAGAAACACTAAAGAGATGTATGAGAAGATGGACACTTTGTTCAGCAATCTCAACACCAAGTATGATGCTGTTGCCACTCATGTGAAGAAACTAGAGACTCAAGTCACTCAAACTATGGAAGCTGTTAAGAGACAGGAAGCTGAATCCAAGAAGTCCTTTTGCAACTCAGCCGCCATAGAAGAAAGATTTGAAGACCAAGTTCCAGAATGGATGCTTTCAAAACCTACTGTTGATTGCATGATTTGGCCTGAAGAGAATTACCCAGAGAGAGAGTCCAATCGAGCTAGAAAGAGAAGACTCTTCCCAAAGATTATCCCCAAGACAGATAACTCAGGAAAGTTTGTGTGCCTTGTATCATCAAAGGTAACATTCTTGAGCAATCTTTGTGTGACACAGGAGCCAATGTGAACATCATGTCTAAGAGGATAGCTGACAAGATAGGCCTCACCAAGATAGAGCCATCATCCATCTCCATCAACTATGCTGATTCATTCTCACAAACCCCTATGGCTTTGTGCCTAATGTGATGGTGCAGATTGGAAATTGCTCTATCCCTACTGATTTCCAGATTGTGGAAATGAGAGAGAGTAGCCATAGACCTCTCATATTTGGAACCCCTTTCCTGTCTACTGTGGGTGCCATATTTGATTTCCCCAATCAAAGAATCTCTTTCAACAAGGTGAACAAGGGTATGTTCTTCCCTATGTGTTCAACAAAGAACTCTTTTGTTGACATGGTCCAAGAGGAGAAAGCTACTTTGAAGCCACCCCAAGAAGGAGAAACTGAAGAAACAATCAAGGAAGATCCCATTCCTAAGCCCAAGCAGCTTGCCAAACAAGCAAGGAGTAAGACTAAGGCCCCTACACCAAAACCGCCCAAGGGATCAACCAAGATTGAAGATGAGGCCAAGCCAAGAAGGAAGGTTAGAAAACCTAGGTCTGGCCGCAACATGAAGCTTCTATTCCCAAAGGAGCTTATTGATGAGAATCTAGAAGGATTCAAGGAGAGAGTGACAAGAACTCTAAAGCTTTTTCCTAAGGCAGTAGTGCCAAGGGACATTCATGGAGAGATTGTCTATCCAGCTGTGAATCACCCACCAGATACTCATTGCAAGGAGAAAAGACTTGGAGGATCAAAGATGCCTCTTGTCTCCATCTTCTCCTGAGCGCCAAGCCTTACAGTCAAGCTAAAGACTTAAAACAAGCGCTGCATGGGAGGCAACCCATGAGGTACTTTTACTTTTCTTTCTTTAATTTTCTTAGTTTTTGTTTTGCTTTTGTGTTTTCTTTGTTTTAAGATAGGATAGAAGGAGAAAAAGGTGTGAAAACACAATCCGCGCCAAAACATTGGCCGCGGACGCGCAAAAGAGATTTTGGCCGAGCAATTCCAACTGGCCGACCGTTACGGTCGAGCCGGGAAGGAATAAGCCGTGCTCGGCCGGATTCTACTTGCGCGACAGAAACGTTCGCGCGCACGCACGAACCGGGAAAGAAACGGCCGCGATCGGCCGAAATTTTGTATCGGAACGGACCGACCGTGCCGGTCGATCCGGGAAACAAACGCTCGGCCTCGGCCGAAATCTCTCGGCCAAAACAATTTGGCCGACCAAATCGCTCGACCGCGACAAAATCCATCGGCCATCGGCCCAAAACTTTTCTAGGCCAAGGTAAGTCCCCTTTTCATTAAATTCAAACCGGTTTTAACCAATCTAAACCAACTTAAACCGGTTTTCAATCAAAATTCGAATTTGAAAAGGAAAATTGATAGGATTTAGATCTTATTTACTTCACCTTTCCCTTGAAAACCACAAGAACCTCTCTTTCTTCTCCAAAACCCTAAACTCCATTAGAGGAACTCTAAGAGTTTTGATTTCAAAACTTTTACTGTTCATAACTCTAAATTGGAATTTACTTGCTCTTGCAACCTTATTCACTTTTCAACACACAAGGTATGTCTTCTAACTCTAATCCTATGTTTATGCAAGATCGAAAATCTTAATAAGTTTCATGTTTGGTCTAAACTCTTGTCTAGACTTGAAATTAGCATCCTTATAGTCTTGTAATGAACTTTGCTAGGTGGAACCTAGGTGGTTTAGAGTTAATTTGAAGTTTAATTTCACAATTGAATAGTTTTTCACAAAACTTATTGGGCATTCCAAACCCCTTATTCAAAGGTGAAATTGCTTGGCATACTTCAATTCATTAGTTTATCTAGTGATTACTTGGATTAGAAACTCAATTTCTCTTGATTTGCTGAAAATTTTGATTTTAAGCACCATAATCTTGGGATGAACAGTAAAATCCGAAAATTAATTTTGAAAAAGTGAAATTTCTATTTTGTCTCTTTGATTCATGATTAAGCCTTGAGTTGTTCCTTTATTCCATATCATTATTGCAACTCAATTAGCTTATTCTTCTTTTGCATTAATCACAAACTCATATTTCTTCCCAAGAATTTGCTCTTGTAGGTACACCAATGGCAAAGACAAAAGGAAATGAGAGTATGAAGAAGAAGAAGAACCCATTCATGGAACCACCAAAGAAGCAAATCAAGCTAGGGAGTAGTAGCTCCAATGCAAGAGCAGCAATACCAACTTCACCACATTCCATTGATGCAATCAAGAACATGTGGAGAGTCCAAGAAGAGGAGAAGATGATTGGGCACTTGTAACCTTTGTTGGAGAACAAAATCAAGACCCAAGAAAGTGTAAGAAGGCAATGGAGAAGGTGAACATCGAGCCATGTGTGAAGATGGACACCCAAACCCTTGATCTTCTCAAGATAAGAGATGATGTCACATGGTACATAAGGAAGCTAGGCTTGAGCAAGCTCTTCAAGCTAGAATGTAGTGAGTACTCACAACTCACCAAGGAGTTCCTCTCCACAGTAGCTCTTGCCTTTCCCAACCACAATGGAGACCAACCAGCTGGTGATGGACTCCTACTCTTCAAGATAGGCGATGCCAATGGGCGCATCTCCATCTCAGCTCTATGCCAACTCTTTGGACTTCCCAATGAGACAGCACATGACTTCAAGGAGAACTCAAAGAGGAAACAAGCTGCCTTTGCTGATTGGACACACTTTGCCAATGAACCATTCTTGCCTTCAAGGTCAAAGGTGTCTAGAATCACTCATCCAGCCATTCGCTATGTGCACCGCCTCATCTCCACCACTTTCCAATGCAAACAAGAAGCCAACAAGGTCACAACTGATGAGTTCTACATCCTCACCACACCATTCATCAAGCATGAGTACAAGGCCAACCTTGGACTTTTACTTGCCAAGACATTCATCAATGTGAGGAAGCTAGCTAAAGACTTGGAAGGCAACAAGAAGCTTTGTGTTCGTTTTGGGAGGCTTATCACGGCCATAGTACTGCATGTGGGGATTGACATTCCCAACTATGAGCCACTACCCAAGCCAACCCCTTTGGATCTCCATGCTCTTCAGCACATCCACTTCCTAAACCGTTGGACTAAAGACCCAACTCGGTTTTGCTATGAGTTTCCAATTGGTCCAGCCAACACTTCCCTTGTCTTGCTGCCACATGAGACATCCCAAGCCTACGCTCAGGAGTTGTCACTTTCCAGCCCAATGAGGAAGACTTCTATGTTCCATCAAGTGAGAAACCATCATTCCCCATGCTCACCTATCGCACACTTCAGCATGCAGTCAAGACTCAACGCCGCTCCAAGAACGCCATGTTCTCACTACTGGCATGGCTGCGCACCAAGCTCTAGACCGTGTTAACAAGCTGGAGAAGATAGTGGAATGCCAATCTCGCTTCATCTCACGCCTAGTCCGCGTAGTTCGCCACATTGCACCGGAGAGACTCTTTCGCCCTTCTTCCACCGCTAGAGAGCCATATGAGCCTGACCTTGGTGAGTTCTCACTAGACTCAGAGCTTGGTTCAGAAGGCGATGACCCCATAGATGAGGAAGAGAGTTCTTCTCACTGCCACACATAGTCATCTCAAGTGGTACTTAGTGCAATGGACACTTACAAATCTCCATTTTCTATCCCTATCTTATTTTAATGAATTTTTCTTTATTTTTCTTTTACTTTGAATATTACCTCTCACCTTAATGTGATTTGCTTTCACCGGGACGGTGCAAGTTAAGTCTGGGGGGAGTTTTATTGTGTTACTAATGCATTTTTCTTTCTTTTCTTATGTTTTATTCACTTTGTTTCATGTTTTTCAAAAAGTTTTATTGAGTCAAAAACCAGTCCGGAAGTTATGAACTTGCTTTGAGAATTGAGAGTGTTATGCTAACAATCCATGACCCTAGAGCAGAAACCAGCTAAAGGCACAAGCCTAACAGAAGCTCTTACAGTGGATCGACATGCTAGCTCAGCAAAATTTCTAAGGTAACCAAGCAATCTAGAGTTAACCTCACCTTAATCAATCTTAATTACTCTTGTCAAGGGGGTTGGCATACATGTCGACAGTTCCTTGCTTGATTTTCAATAAGATTTGTCTAATCTTTAAAGAGTTCTCCTCTCTCTCCCATCCCAAATGGTAAGTATATATGAGAAAAAGCTCAAAGAGCACAAGGACAACAAGTAAGCATGAGGAATGCATATGTCTGTACCTTCATGTCTTATGGAATACCTTAGTCAAACAAGGAACAAGCTAAAGACTTATCCTGTGGTTGAAAGAAGGGTCAATAGAAAAAATAAAATGATACCCTAGAAAAGTAGGGAGAAATTGACCTTTCAAAGTTCTGATGTGAGAAAGAGAGAGGAAAAGAACTCATTGCACTTAAAGAGGCAATCTTGGAGAGGATCAAGTGGGTAAGAACAAGTTCAATTGATCGATGTCCCCTTGATAAAGAATTCACGCTTTAAATTTATGCAAGAGGTTAGCAATAGAGAGTTTGGATTGCTGGATGAGACTAGTTGGGTTGGTATTGTTCGCTAAACTTGCAGGGTGTATGTGAAGCTAACCTTATGTTGTCTATGTTCATAGTGGAATACAGGAAAGGAACCTTTCACAGGATATTCAAAAGAGCAAGGGAGTTCCACGTTTTCAAACCTCTTTCACGGATTTAGATTCTTTTTGCTTGAGGACAAGCAAAGATCTAAGTCTGGGGGAGTTGATATACCTCTAATTTACCCACTTTTTATACTGTTTTAGCATTGTTTTCTAATGGTTTTTGGCAGGTTTTCTATCTAAAAAGGTAGTTTTACTGTGTTTATAGTGTCTAGAGTCTAAACAGGTGAAATGATGCATTTTGGAGCAAAACCATAGGATTTGCACTTCAAGCAGCTCCATGCACAAGCACCAACTTTAAGAGGGCCCAGAAAAAGATCTACTCAATGGATTTCATCAAGACCAGTTCCCTGCGTGCTCTGATTGAGTTAACTTTCCAACGCAACTGGAATGGCCTAATTTGGATGAGTAGAAAAGGAGTTACAACCAAAAGAGTGAAGACTGTCCAGACGGCTCTATCGAGAATCAGCGCCCAACCGCGCAGTCCGGCTGGCCGAGGAACGAATGTTCCGCGCTCGGCCAAATCTCGTCCGTCCGTCTGAAGTCTCGGCCAAAGTCCAAACCGTCGGCCGATCACGCAATCACGACCCGGGAAACATTGCCCGCGGTCGGCCACGCCACGCCACGACCGCGCACGACCAAAGCGCGCGAGCCGGGAAACGCCTCGCGGCCGCGCAACCCGTTCCGCGTACCACGGCCGATGCATCCGTCCGAGCCGGGAAAACGTCCCGCGTCCGGCCGAGATTTCATCGGCCAAATCTCACCGTCCGACCACAGCCGGCCGACCACGATCCGTCCGACCCCGACCGTTCCGACTCGGCCACACCCGATTGTCCGGCCGATCGTCCCGACGACCGTCCCAACGCCGCGGTCGACCCGAAGCCCTTTTTGAAGCCCAAACTTATGTTTTCAAGCCCGGCTTAACCCTAAGCCGCCTCTAGAAAGACCTAGCACTATATATATGGATTTTTAGCCTCTTGAGAAAGAGAGCCGCCCTTGTATTTCGATTTCCTACTCTAAGTTTTATTGCAATCATGTTTTCTTCATCTCTATGTGTGTTTGCTTTGATCATGTCTGAGTAATCCACTAGTTAGGTTGCTAGGGTTACTATTCAATGAGTTGCTTGCATGATCTTTGATTTCAATGATTAGCTAGGGATTATATTAGAGTCTTTGTCTCGTCTTGTGCACTTAACTAATGCTGATTGCTTTACCGCGCATCTAGTAATCCGATCTTAGGTTGATTTGAGCCTCGACAGTGCTGTATCATTCGCCGGACATATTCTTTGACAAGCTAGGTTTCTTAGACTGCGAAAGTTGATCTATCTATATCTAGTGAACTGTATCAGAACCTATTCATTCTAATGCTTGATCTAATCACCTAGGGACATACCAAAAGTTTAGCGACTAGGTAGATTAGCAAAGGAGCCGGAGCCTCGAAAGTGGAATGGTTTTATATTCGTGATCTGTGTTCTAGATGGTTCTTAATATCCCAATATCCCTAATCAATTAATCTATCATTGTTTCATTGATCATTGCTTGCTTCTCTGCGATAGCCCCTATGACCTAGCGCTTTTCCTTTATTGCTTACAACCTCGTTATACTTGCTAGTTCGGTTCACCATTACAACCTCAATCATACTTTTGTTTTAGCTTGATCCAAAATCCATAGTTACAAAGTGTACTCAATAGCCAGTCCTTGTGTTCGATACCCATACTTCCGCGATCTGTGCACTTGCAGAGGTCTAGGAGTTTGGTAAAACCTGACTCCGCATTAATACACTACAAGTAAGTTCCCACAATGTGGAGGCACAGAGTTACATTTCAGACTCTTTACCTCTTCCGGTTCCCAAATTTGGTCCATTTGATGTTCCTTCCTTGGATTGAGACCTTTTCATTCATGTTTCCCCTCATAGTCATGTATAAAACCTATTAATCCATGTTTGAGTAAGTACGGGTGTGTTTAGTTCATCATATACACTACAAGTATGTTCCCATAATGTGGAGGCACAGAGGTACATTTCGGACTCCTTACCTCTTGCGGTTCCCAAATTTGGCCCATTTGATTTTCCTCCCTTAGATTGAGACCGTTTCACTCATGTTTCTCCTCATAGTCATGTATAGAACCTATTAATCCATGTTTGGGTAACTATGGGTCCGTCTAGTTCATCATATACACTACAAGTATGTTCCCACAATGTGGAGGCACATAGCTACATTTCGGACTCCTTACCTCTTCTGGTTCCCAAATTTGGTCAATTTGATGTTACTCCCTTGGATTGTGACCCTTTCATTCACGTTTAGCCTCATAGTCATGTATACATCCTATTAATCCATGTTTAGGAAAGTATGGGTCTGTCTAGTTCATTATATACACTACAAGTAAGTTCCAACAATGTGAGGACACATAGCTACATTTCAGACTTCTTACCTCTTATGGTTCCCAAAATGTGGTCCCTTTGATGTTCCTTCCTTGGATAACCGTTTTAGTCCGGTTTATCTTCATAGTCATCTATAGAACCTATTAGTCAATGTTTCGGTAAGTAAGGGTCCGTCTAGTTCATTATATACACTACAAGTATGTTCCGATAATCTGGAGGCACAGAGATATATTTCGGACTCCTTACGTCTTACAGTTCCCAAATTTGGTCCATTTGATGTTCCTCTCTTGGGTTGAGATCGGTTCAGTCAAGTATTATTCTCCTAGTCATGTGGATAACCTATTAATCTATGTTTAGGTAAGTATGGGTCCGTCTAGTTCATCATATACACTACAAGTAAGTTCCCATAATGTGGAGGCACATAGATTCATTTCGGACACCTTACCTCTCCTGGTTCCCAAATTCGGTTCATTTGATGTTTCTTACTTGGATTGAGACCTTTTCATTCATGTTTCCCCTCATAGTCATGTATAAAACCTATTAATCCATGTTTGGGTACGTATGGGTCTGTCTAGTTCATCATATACACTAAAGTATATTCCCATAATAAGGAGGCACAGAGATACATTTCGGACTCCTTACCTCAACCGGTTCCAAAATTTGGTCCATTTGATGTTACTTACTTTGATTGAGACCGTTTCATTCATGTTTCCCCTCATAGTCATGTATAGAACGTATTAATCCATGTTTGGGTAAGTATGAGTCCGTATTGTTCATGTTATACACTACAAGTAAGTTCCCACAATGTGGACACAGAGCTACATTTCGGACTCCTTACCTCTTCCGGTTCCCAAATTTGTCCATTTGATGTTCCTCCTTGGGTTGAGACCGTTTCAGTCAAGTATTCTGCTCCTAGTCATGTGGAGAACCTATTAATCCATGTTTGGGTAAGTATGGGTCCGTATAGTTCATCATATACACTACAAGTAAGTTCCCACAATGTGGAGGCACAGAGATACATTTCAGACTCCTTACCTCTTCCGGTTCCCAAATTTGGTCCATTTGATGTTCCTTCCTTGGATTGAGACCTTTTCATTCATGTTTCCCCTCATAGTCATGTATAAAACCTATTAATCCATGTTTGGGTAAGTATGGGTGTGTCTAGTTCATCTTATACACTACAAGTATGTTCCCATAATGTGGAGGCACAGAGGTACATTTCGGACTCCTTACCTCTTCCGGTTCCCAAATTGGTCCATTTGATTTTCCTCCCTTAGATTGAGACCGTTTCACTCATGTTTCTCCTCATAGTCATGTATAGAACCTATTAATCCATGTTTGGGTAACTGTGGGTCCGTCTAGTTCATCATATACATTACAATTATGTTCCCACAATGTGGAGGCACAGCTACATTTCGGACTCCTTACCTCTTCTGGTTCCCAAATTTGGTCAATTTGATGTTTCTCCCTTGGAATGTGCGTTTCATTCACTTTTATCCTCATAGTCATGTATACAACCTATTAATCCATGTTTAGGTAAGTGTGAGTCTGTCTAGTTCATTATATACACTACAAGTAAGTTCCAACAATGTGAGGATAGAGAGCTACATTTCGGACTTCTTACCTCTTCCGGTTCCTAAATTTATTCCAATTGATGTTCCTTCCTTGGATTGAGACCGTTTCAGTCCGGTTTCTTCTCATAGTCATGTATAGAACCTATTAATCCATGTTTCGGTAAGTATGGGTCCCTCTAGTTCATTATATACACTACAAGTATGTTCCCATAATGTGGAGGCAGAGAGATACATTTCGGACTGAAAACAAGATTTTTAGTAGATTCAAACCCTCAAATCTCTACTCATATCATCGCAGTATAGTAAAGGTGTTAATCCAAATCTCAGAGAAAATTGGGTTTTAAAGAAATGCAAGGAAAGTTCAAGCCAAGAACAAAAACTTGGTTTTTATGAAATCTGAAATCTCAAACAGTAAAATAACGACAATGGTCCAAAATCCGATTTCGAAGGCAAAGGTTTCGATTTTGAGCTAAAAGACTTGAACTTGATAAGATAAAATTAAGAAAGGCGATGGCTTTAGGTGATTGCGGATGAAAATCAAGCTAAAGGAAGAGACTTTCGAGCTTAGAAGATAGAACCGAGTTTCTAGGCTAAGGAAAACGAAAGCGAGAGATCATCACTATCGTGAATGAGCTCGAATGCAAGGTTCAAACTCAAGAGCTGACTATCGTCAGTGAGCTCTGATGTACTTGCACTTTACATAATTTTAGTAGATCTTTTATGCATCTTTTGCATAGTTTTAGCATCCATTAGCATCATATCTTGTTCCTTTTCCCTTCTTGTGCATTTATAGTAGTTTTAGGTTGCATTTGCATATATGTGCATGTTTGGTCCTTGAAATAGGTCTTTTGGAGCACTTTGGAGCATTTGGGGCGTGAGGAGCAAGGAAGGACTTGATGCATGGACGCAGCTCAACTGAACACACAAAGGACGAAGGAGGAAATCATCTTGAAGACCAGCTCGACCACCTACTCGGCCATCCGGTCGAGTTCCTCAACTCGACCGGCCAAGCTTCAACTCGATCGAGCTGAGAAGTCAACAGTCAAACCCGAAAATTGTTGCTTCCCCCTTGACTTCTGATGCGGGATCAGGTTTTACCTATTCCTATCCCTGATTCTGCAAGTGCACAGGTCAGGTGTAGTAACGGGTTATCGAACACAAGGAGCAGATAAGTGCACTACAAGCTATGCAAGTCTAACTTAGCTAGGACAAGAGGATGAATTGGGGTTTTGGTATGCAAAAGAACTAAACTAAAAGAAAGCAATATGAAAGCGGTGTAAGTTCAATGTGGGAAAGACGCTAGGCAATAGGTAATTCGCAGAGATTCATATATGATAAGATTGATGATTGATTTATATCTATTTAGGGATATGGGATGTAAGATCCGTCTAGAACACCAAACACGATTGTAAAACCATTCCACTGTCGAGGCTCCGGTTCCTTTGTTAATCTACCTAGTCGCTAAACTTTTGGTATGTCCCTAGGTGATTAAATCAAGCATTAGATCGAGCAAGTTCGGATACAGTTCACTAGGTTATAGTAAATCAACTTTCGCAGTCTAAGAAACCTAGCTTGTCAAAGAATATGTCCGGCGAATGATACAACACTTTCGAGGCTCAAATCAACCTAAGATCGAATCACTAGATGTACGGTAAAGTGATTAGCATTAATTAAGTGTGCAAAACGAGACAAAGACTCTAATGATATCCCTAGTTAATTCATCAAATCATAATCAACACATGAACTCTTTGAAACCCTAAAACCTAACTAGAAATCTACTCAAACATGGTGCAAGTAAACAAGCATAGATCTGAGATAGAAATCATATTAATATAAGGAGAAAAGGGTTTAGAAAGCTTCTCTATGTCGAGATACAAAGAAGGGATCTTCTCCCTAAGGAAAACAATGAGAAAGAAGTAAAACAATGGAAGATCCCTCTAAGGGGAGCTCCCTAGTGCGCCTCTCTCTTGTAGCTCTTCTCTGTGTGACTCTATGCGGCTCTCTCTTCTAAAGAGGCTAAAAAAGAGTATTTATAGTGCCCTAGGTCACAAGTCGGTTTAGGTTAATTGGGCTGAGAATTGTCAAAACTGCATAAGTGGGCTTCTTGTTCGCGGAGATAGGGTCGGCCGTGATGTGATGCTCTCGGTCGATCGTGGTCCATTGCCTCCCGGCTCGGACGGTGCGGTCGTGCGGTCGGATCGGTCCTGGAGAAGGCCGAGCGAAGCCAATTCCCTTCCTGTCCGGCAGAGTGCGTTCGGCCGGCTGTTAACCAGTCTTCAGTACAAACGTGATATCTCCTAAATGGCTTATCCAAATTGCATAATTCCAACGGCATTGGAACACTAACTCCTATGGCTATCTTTGTATCAGTTTCATTGAAATCCATTGAGTTTAAGGGTCCAAGCCGCTGCTGCCCGTCTGATGTACTGATGCAGTCCGATTAAGCTCTCTCGTATATGTCTCAGGGAAATAGAGATATCTCCCAATCTACTGGTCAAACTGAGTGATTCCAGTTGCGTTGCAAAGCTAACTCACGTATGCATCGCCTCGAACTGGATTTGATGAATTCCATTGAGTAGATTGTTTTTAAGGCCCTTCTTAAGTTGATGCTACGTCCTGGAGCTGTCTTGAAGTCCAAATCATGTGTTTTGCTCCAAAATGCATCTTTTGACCTGTTTAGACTCTAAGTACTATAAATCCATAAAAACTACCTTTTTAGATCAGAAAGCCATTAAAAACCTTATGAAAAGCATAGTAAAACCATATAAAAAGCATGTAAAATAGAGGTATATCAACTTCCCTTTGACCCTAAACCTAATCTCCTTTGTATTTAAAGGCTATAAGCCACGAAAAAACAACAATCTTTAGCTTATCTTTTTTTAGCTTTCTTTAATTTATTGTCTTTTACTTTTTAGCAACCCTAACCTCTTTGTGTTCTTGAGCTCTTGCTCTTGAACCTAGATCTTGGTTTATTTGCTTTGTATTTGCACTTGCTTATTTCAATAAAAGTTGTTCATCTTTATCTTATCTTCATTGCATTTTTGTGTTTACATTCATGTGTAGTGAGTAGTTTCCTTTAGGGTTTGAGATGGGCTAGATTAGGGGATCTTTATGCTTAATCCTTCTTGCTTATGTTCTTAATCTAGAAATCTCTCTCTTTTGGACAAACCTTAAGGCTACATGACCACTACCCTGGCTTGTATGTCCATAGGCGATTCTCCACATGGAAGTGATGGAAATCGCTTGGAAAAGGTCCACTAAGAGCTCCAATAACTCTTGCTCTCGAAATGGAGTTCATAGGGGTTGGATGGATTAGTTTGAGCAATGATCCTATGGCCTCCAAGGCTTGATTCTCACTGGCTAACCCCCTGTTTCTGAGATCATCCTTGGTTGATAGCTTTCACCTTGGGAAAGGGTTAGCTAGGCATTGAGAAGCTCAATATCAAGAGATACCTTGATACAAGTTGTTTGAGAGCAAGATTGATTAAGTATAGCCTTCCCTGATTGTAAGACCCTGTCTTAGACCCTAATATTCGCATTAGCTTGTTAAAGTTCCTGCCTTTATCGCTTTTTACACTAACTCGACCCTCAACTCGATCGAGCTTGGTTACTCTGTTCCCACTCGACTCGAGTCCTTGGTCGAGCTGCTTGCTTTACTGCTTTCTTTACTTTCTGCATTTCATTTCTGTTCATTAGGTTGTTAGAGTTACTATCATCTTACTTATTGTCGCTTGACTTTTTGTGATTGCATATTCTCATAGAGTAAAATTTCACCCTTATGGATTGATACCCCTTATACTTCAATGACTATGATGGTTAAGGGGAATTGATTGATTGTGATTGTGTTTTGCATCATACCACCTCATCTTCATATACCACTGTTGCATTCCACCTCATTTATTTCATACCATATCATCACATCACACACACAAATCTTATCATCAATTTGGCGCCGTTGCTGTTTGGGTTAATATTGTTGCATTTGAGTTTCTAATACACTTGGACGATCAAGCTTATCCCACCCCTGTTCTTTGTATTGCTGGGTTTTTGATTCTTTTTGTAGGTGTATGCGAACTCGATCGAGTCGAACAACAGAAGACTTGGTCGAGCTAGATTTCACCACGGGTAGAAAGAGAAGTCAGAGAACTCAGAGGGTACAAGTGGAACCTGAGGTGCTTGTTACTGATACATGGATGTACCAAAGGACTCGGTCGAGCTAGGCAACCTCGACCGATTGGTCTAGGAGATGCTCCAAACCGCCATCAACAAAGACAAGGGACTGTCCCACCACCTGTGCAGAACCACAACTTTGAGATCAAGATGGGAATGTGGAGGCACAGAGGTACATTTCGGACTCTTTACCTCTTCGGTTCCCAAATTAGGTCCATTTGATGTTCCTCCCTTGTATTGTGACCGTTTCACTCATGTTTGTCATCATAGTAATGTGTAGAACCTATTAATCCATGTATAGGTAAGTATGGGTCCATCTAGTTCATCTTATACACTACAAGTGAGTTTCCACAATGTGGAGTCACAGAGGTACATTTCGGGACTCCATACCTCTTCCGGTTCCCAAATTTGGTCCATTTGATGTTCCTCCCTTAGATTGAGACCAATTCACTCATGTTTGTCCTCATAGTAATGTGGAGAACCTATTAATCCATGTTTGGGTTATATGGGTCTATCAGTTCATCTTATACACTACAAGTGAGTTTCCACAATGTGGAGGCACAGAGGTACATTTCGGACTCCTTACCTCTTCCGGTTCCCAAATTTGGTCCATTTGATGTTCCTCCCTTGGATTGAGACCGTTTCACTCATGTTTGTCCTCATAGTCATGTGGAGAACCTATTAATCCATGTTTGGGTAAGTATGGGTCCATCTAGTTCATCTTATACACTACAAGTGAGTTTCCACAATGTGGAGGCACAGAGGTACATTTCGGACTCCTTACCTCTTCCGGTTCCCAAATTTGGTCCATTTGATGTTCCTCCCTTGGATTGAGACCGTTTCACTCATGTTTGTCCTCATAGTCATGTGGAGAACCTATTAATCCATGTTTGGGTAAGTATGGGTCCATCTAGTTCATCTTATACACTACAAGTGAGTTTCCACAATGTGGAGGCACAGAGGTACATTTCGGACTCCTTACCTCTTCCGGTTCCCAAATTTGGTCCATTTGATGTTCCTCCCTTGGATTGAGACCGTTTCACTCATGTTTGTCCTCATAGTCATGTGTAGAACCTATTAATCCATGTTTGGGTAAGTATGGGTCCATCTAGTTCATCTTATACACTACAAGTGAGTTTCCACAATGTGGAGTCACAAGGTACATTTCGGACTCCTTACCTCTTCCGGTTCCCAAATTAGGTCCATTTGATGTTCCTCCCTTGGATTGAGACCGTTTCACTCATGTTTGTCCTCATAGTCATGGTAGAACCTATTAATCCATGTTTGGGTAAGTATGGGTCCATCTAGTTCATCTTATACACTACAAGTGAGTTTCCACAATGTGGAGTCACAGAGGTACATTTCGGACTCCTTACCTCTTCCGGTTCCCAAATTTGGTCCATTTGATGTTCCTCCCTTGGATTGAGACCGTTTCACTCATGTTTGTCCTCATAGTCATGTGTAGAACCTATTAATCCATGTTTGGGTAAGTATGGGTCCATCTAGTTCATCTTATACACTACAAGTGATTTCCACAATGTGGAGGCACAGAGGTACATTTCGGACTCCTTACCTCTTCCGGTTCCCAAATTTGGTCCATTTGATGTTCCTCCCTTGGATTGAGACCGTTTCACTCATGTTTGTCCTCATAGTCATGTGAGAACCTATTAATCCATGTTTGGGTAAGTATGGGTCCATCTAGTTCATCTTATACACTACAAGTGAGTTTCCACAATGTGGAGGCACAGAGGTACATTTCGGACTCCTTACCTCTTCCGGTTCCCAAATTTGGTCCATTTGATGTTCCTCCCTTGGATTGAGACCGTTTCACTCATGTTTGTCCTCATAGTCATGTGGAGAACCTATTAATCCATGTTTGGGTAAGTATGGGTCCATCTAGTTCATCTTATACACTACAAGTGAGTTTCACAATGTGGAGGCACAGAGGTACATTTCGGACTCCTTACCTCTTCCGGTTCCCAAATTTGGTCCATTTGATGTTCCTCCCTTGGATTGAGACCGTTTCACTCATGTTTGTCCTCATAGTCATGTGTAGAACCTATTAATCCATGTTTGGGTAAGTATGGGTCCATCTAGTTCATCTTATACACTACAAGTGAGTTTCCACAATGTGGAGGCACAGAGGTACATTTCGGACTCCTTACCTCTTCCGGTTCCCAAATTTGGTCCATTTGATGTTCCTCCCTTGGATTGAGACCGTTTCACTCATGTTTGTCCTCATAGTCATGTGGAGAACCTATTAATCCATGTTTGGGTAAGTATGGGTCCATCTAGTTCATCTTATACACTACAAGTGAGTTTCCACAATGTGGAGGCACAGAGGTACATTTCGGACTCCTTACCTCTTCCGGTTCCCAAATTTGGTCCATTTGATGTTCCTCCCTTGGATTGAGACCGTTTCACTCATGTTTGTCCTCATAGTCATGTGTAGAACCTATTAATCCATGTTTGGGTAAGTATGGGTCCATCTAGTTCATCTTATACACTACAAGTGAGTTTCCACAATGTGGAGGCACAAAGGTACATTTCGGACTCCTTACCTCTTCCGGTTCCCAAATTTGGTCCATTTGATGTTCCTCCCTTGGATTGAGACCGTTTCACTCATGTTTGTCCTCATAGTCATGGTAGAACCTATTAATCCATGTTTGGTAAGTATGGGTCCATCTAGTTCATCTTATACACTACAAGTGAGTTTCCACAATGTGGAGGCACAGAGGTACATTTCGGACTCCTTACCTCTTCCGGTTCCCAAATTTGGTCCATTTGATGTTCCTCCCTTGGATTGAGACCGTTTCACTCATGTTTGTCCTCATAGTCATGTGTAGAACCTATTAATCCATGTTTGGGTAAGTATGGGTCCATCTAGTTCATCTTATACACTACAAGTGAGTTTCCACAATGTGGAGGCACAGATACATTTCGGACTCCTTACCTCTTCTGGTTCCCAAATTTGGTCCATTTGATGTTCCTCCCTTGGATTGAGACCGTTTCACTCATGTTTGTCCTCATAGTCATGTGTAGAACCTATTAATCCATGTTTGGGTAAGTATGGGTCCATCTAGTTCATCTTATACACTACAAGTGAGTTTCCACAATGTGGAGTCACAAGGTACATTTCGGACTCCTTACCTCTTCCGGTTCCCAAATTTGGTCCATTTGATGTTCCTCCCTTGGATTGAGACCGTTTCACTCATG